AAACTGATCGTTTGACTTTCAGATTAGGTAACTAGTGGTTCATAGCATAGTGCCTTAAGGCAAATTACTGGAACTTCCCGTAATGTAATAAAACATTGAAGGAATGAAAATAATCAATAATCAGTAAGAATAGATTAAGCCGGCAGGCTTTTCACTAATTTAACGGCGAATTCTAGTCAAACGGCTTGTATTAATTTAACTGCTCACATGAGGGCAATATGTGCCCATATAGAACATTCATCAGTAAAAATGACATTTTCAAAATCTCTATCAATATTTTCATCTGCCCAAGCGGAAAAAAAAAATGTTTTTCAGTCGTCAAAGGCTTTCCCATTGTGTTGCGCCATTTTAGATCATGAGTACGAAGAAGGGTTTGGATAGTTTTGCAAATATTTCTAAACATTATGCCATTAACTTTGCTCGTCTTTGCCGCAGTGTTAAAAAGCAGGATTCCTCGAAAACGGATTCACTGTTCTATTTTCTTCTTTTTTATTCGAACCACGTTCTGATAAATCATCGACATTTTTAGGTGTATCCAATTCTGTGCAAATGCCTTCGACTTTCTCATATGTTTAGCAGCCACTGATTGCGACATTTGGGGGCCTTTTGGGTGGATGCAAAGGAGCACAGCCTCGTAGCGAGACGTGTAACTTAGCACTCATGGAGTTTAACGTGATTCATTTTCAAAAGATCAACGACAACTAAACCTTTGTTGACAATGTATTAAGGACAAAGCTTTCCTTTATCGGCTTGCCAAGGAATTAGATCGGCATCTTTCATTAACTGTCGTAAAAGTCGGCCAAGCTCTGTGTATGTAATTGTTATGCATTCATAAACTATGCGTCCGATTGCCGTAAAAGTTTGGGAAATTGTTAGGTAGATTCCCGAACAGATTTTCGGATATTTTGATTGAAGCCAAGTTTAACAGGTAGACAGATAGATAAGTAGATAGATAAACAAGAAGACATGTGAAATAATAGATGGGTAAACTAGTGGACAGGTAAATTGAAAGATATGTAAAATGGTATACAGTACAACTGGTAGATAGATAATATGGTAGGTAGTAGATATTGGTAGCCAGGTAAAGTGGTAGACTGATGGATATGTTGACAGGTATACTGGTGGACAGGTTTACAGGTATACTGGTAGACAGGTTGACAGGTATACTGGTGGACAGGTAAATTTGTGGACTGGTAAACTGGTAGACAAATAGTCATATAGACTAGTCATATAGACTAGATGTAAGAAATATGCATTTTTGTTCAAATTTTTAATTAAAATGGGTACAGCTAGTTTAATATAAAAATAAGTGTTATAAAATAAGTGTTTATTAAATTGGGCGACAGATTATGAACAAAATCTAATGGAACCGACTAAAACGAAGACATCCAACCACCTAGTATCATAAAAAATATTTTGCAATTTTTTTTTAAATAAGATTTTTTTTAAATATTTGAATATTTCGAATTTTTTTAGGATTTCTGAAAATAAAATCGTTTTTTTAAAATTTCATATTTAAAATTGTTGAAAAAAAATTGAAATTTTTGAAAAAATCTATTTTGTTAAATGTTTTGAAATTAAAAAAAATAAATGCTGAAAAATTTCGAAAATTCGTTTTTGTTTTGAAAAGCTTAAAATATTATCAAAGTTTTGAAACCACTGCTTTTCTCAAATACTAATAGTTTTTCTACATTATCAATACAAACAAAATGTTTTTTTAGTCACTCTAATTGGACGAACTGTTTCAAAAACTGCATGATCATTTTTAGTACCATACCGCCAGAAATGGCTTGACCTGCCCTTGCCAAAATATTCAGCATCGGTTGATAGCTGCGATTGAAATTATCGACGAAATTTTTTCCACACACACAGATACATCCATTTTTTCTAAGGTATGTCAAAATGTTCAGAAAGCTTTAAAACGTAAAGAAATATAAAAAAAATGGTTTCAATTCCCAACTTTTTCTACAGGAAGTTATACGTTAGTGCATAAGTTTGAATAGGTTCTAAACTCTTAATATTCGGAACCCAAATAAAAAGTGCTCGAAGTGTAAACGTTACTTTAAAGACTTCATATATGTTCGTAACAACCCACTCAGCACTTTTTTGACCGATATTAGGCTTGGGATAAAGTATTGAGTATTGGTAATTGTTTAAATGAATAAATGTACGCTATTATCGTATTTTTATGACATACTGGACATGCATCATTTGTGAAGATATCGTTAATGGTATGGTGGTGGAAATTTCTTGTACATTTTTTATTCGCTATGCAAGGCACGATTGAGAGTACCGCATAAGATATAAGTCATGTTGCTGTAAAAATATTAAAAAGCATTCGGTTAGCAGGCGGTTCTTACTGGAATTTTCGCAAAAAATATATTATTGGCGTCTACAGAATCATTCATTACTATTAAATCAGTATTTAATATACAGGATTTAGTCAATAGTTGTTGTAACTACGTGTTATGCATCAATAATAACTGCTGAAAAATGTACGGCAAGTAAGAGAAGCCGATTATTGCATGAGAAAAAAACGACCAGCTTTGATCTCATTCCTACTCGACGTCGTTTGATATGAAGTACACTCGTGCAACGTATAACATGAATGAACTGTCTTAATATTTTGATGAAAATATGTATTGTCCCATAGAGTTTTTAGCTTTGTCAAAAGCTCCGGGAAATTTAAATAAACTAAAAAGCCTTTCACAAATGGCTGTAATTGATTAGCTATCATGTAGACCTGTAAACTGAGAAGTGTTTGAGACACTAAATTATAAGAAAATAAGAGTTTGTGGTAGGAAAGTGAAAAAATAAGGCTATGTGTATTTTCAACTTCCTGTAGGGTAAGTTAAAGTAAACGCAGAAAATCGAAAATAAAAATTTGTGTACATTTTTACTTTTCAAAGGTTTATGAACATTTTGGCATACCTTACAATTAGAAAAAAATGAATGTGCGTGTGTGTGTGTCCGGATACAATTTTTTATCGACGAGTTTAGAAACGCGGATCAACCGATTTGAATAATTCAAATAACATTTGATTCGTATCGATAAGGAGACGCGTTAATTAGTACTTGGCAATTTTTTTTCTAAAATCAATTATTTTGTTAAAACAAGCAGAAAGTTCTTTGAATGATTTAAATCGGACGCTTAGTTCTCTCAAAAACTGTCATTTTTGCACATTTAGCTCTGTATCTTTAAAATAGCTGGGCCTACCTTTGCCAAAAATAAATAACCACCTCTCCCAATCATTACTAATTGAATGATTTTTAGATCATTTAAATCGGATGCTCCGTTCTCTCAAAAACTCGATTTCTATTTTCTGCACTCTTTGCTCTTTATCTCCGTAACTGCTGGCCAAAAACTAAGCAGCACATCTCCCTATCAATAGGAATCGAATGTTTTTTGAACCATTCAAATCGGTTGATCTGTGCGTCCGAAAACATAGACGAAAAAATGCGGACATACAAAACACACACAAACACATCCATTTTTTCTGAGGTAAGCCCATTCTGGAGCTCAGAAACCTTCAAAACGTCGAGAAATGCAAAAAAATCAGTTACGATTTTCGACCCATTACTATAACTATCCTACAGGAAGTTAAAAATACAAATATTGTTTACACTTTTATGGGTTCCGTGCCAATTTTATGATGTTTAACCGATAAGACTGCAAAGCGGCGCTTACGCGCTTTGATGTTTCACATTTACAGCATACGTAGAGCGATTTCTTTGAAAAAATGTTAAAATATTTCAAAAAATTACAATTTTTTTTTAGTTTTAAAAAAATTATAAAGCTTTGTTAAAAAATATAATTTTTGGTACAAAAGTTCCAACAATTTGCCTTAAGACACGATGTCATGCGCAACTATTTAATATTATAATGAATTATTACAATAAAGTGTTATTTATAATAAGTCATCGCAAAAACTAGTGGGGTGTATGGCATCGTGCCTTAAGGCAAATTGCTGGAACTTCCCGTACCGTAAAGAAATGTCCGAGGAATACTGAATGTTTATAAGAATTATATAAATTGAATTGCAAAGTTAAAATTATTTGTTTAAGTTATATTAGAACTTTAGTCAGAATAAAAATAAAATCTGAATTATTTTCGATATACAAAAAACCTAAAAAAAAATATTCATTTTTTTTCCAAAATCAATTATTTTGTTAAGACAAGCAGAAAGTTCTTTGAATCATTTAAATCGGACGTTTAGTTCTCTCAAAAACTGTCATTATTTACATATTTAGCCCCGTATCTTCGAAATGGCTGTGCTTGCCTTTGCCAAAAACTAATAAACACTTCTCCAAATCATTACTAATTGAATGTTTTTTAAATCATTCAAATCGGATACTCCGTTCTCTCAAAAAGTCGATTTCTATTTTCTGCACTCTTTGCTCCGTATCTCCGAAACGGCTCGACCTGCCTTCGCCAAAAACTAATCAGCTCTTTTCCCTATTAATAGAAATCGAATGTTTTTTGAACCATTCAATTCGGTTGATCTGTGCGCCCGAAAACGTGACTGGAAATTTGTATCCATCCATACATACATACACACACACACACACACACACATCCATTTTTTCTGAGGTATGCCAAAACGTTCAGAAACCTTCAAAACGTCGAGAAATGTAAAAATTTTCAATTTCGATTTTCGGCCCATTACAATAACTTACCCTACGAGAAGTTAAAAAATTGAACTCCTAGTGCGCTTACCGTGTGCACGTCGACTTAACGTGTGCTGGTAACAACCCACTCGCCAGTCGGCGCCTCCTCTGACCGACATTAGGCTAGGATGCTACGGTGTTGTGAGTCTGGGGCTACGGCGGAGGGAGAAATCGATTCTACGGCACAAAGCTCGTGAAAGAATCAGTACTGCGCGGGCTTCCGAACGTGCAGGTCCTTTGCAGGGTCCTGCGCAAGACGCATTCAGAACTGGCGAGTAAACAATGTCATTTCGAACTGCAGCTTTTCGAAGACATCATGTTGTTTCCATCCTATAACCGTTTGCAGTGACATCAAGTGCAGTGATTACTTTGCCTTGGGACCAGAGTGATAATACTGAACGAAAATGGTGAGCTTTTTGACAGTTTTTTTTGTAGATGTGGGTTAACGCGAAACGTTTTTGTTAAATATTTGAAAACTTTCATACACGGCCGGAACTACTGAGAAAACGTGGTGGGGTTTGTAATATCTTGGACTAGTATGGGTTAACCACCACTAGTATGAGAGCTTTTTATATCTCTAACGTGAATTTTATATTTTTGCAAAAACATCCGACTTGCTAATTTTATGTTTACGTCATTCTGAATCGTTCGAGATAAAAAATTTAAAAATTTTTTGTGTGTATGTCTCTCAAATTCAGCTTCATCAAATCCTAAGATTTATGTAACTCGATTTAAATTTGCGTAGATTTGTTTTTTGCAGCGATCAGTCAAGTCGTTTCTTTTACAATAAGCCCAAAAATTTTTGGTTTACATTGCAGCCAAAAACTGGGAAGCAATTTTAAAAATTCAAAGATATCAGTTGATTAATTCTCAGTAAAGATCGGCTGAGCCGTTTTTTGCAATTAATATTTGAAAAAAGTTTGTTTACCGATTTTGATGACATTTTTATTATGAGAGAAAACCTGGTTTCAAAAAATCATTATAACCCTACGATAATTAATTTAATTATGAAAGTTCATCTAAGTTTGAAATAATGAGCAACGCTTCTTTTCATGGTTTAAATTTTGTCTTTTTGTTGATGTTTTCTCAAAAAACGGCTGAACGATATTAAAAATTTAAAAGCGTTTTAATGAAACTCGATGAAGACTCGCATTCATTAGCTTTGCGAGGCGATTAGCAGGGCCGTTTTTTATTTTAGAATTTGTCCACATTTGCACAAAAAATTCTGAACCGATTGTAAAAATTACTGCTCAAAGAAGCTTTGAACACGTTTTAATTTCAAACTCGGTTGAGAATTTTTTGCGAAAATAAGGACAGAAATTATTGAACTGCTCTGCTAATTTCTAAAAGCTTATCTGATCGTCTCGTTTTATATTTATATTTATATTTATATTTATATTTATATTTATATTTATATTTATATTTATATTTATATTTATATTTATATTTATATTTATATTTATATTTATATTTATATTTATATTTATATTATATTATATTAGAGGAGAGAGGGAGAGGGAGAGGGGAGAGGGGAGAGGGAGAGGGGATAGGGGAGAGGGAGGGGGAGGGAGAGGGAGAGGAGAGGGAGAGGGAGAGGGAGAGGGAGAGGAGAGGGAGAGGGAGAGGGAGAGGGAGAGAGAGGAGAGGGAGAGGAGAGGGAGAGGGAGAGGGAGAGGGGAGGGAGAGGGAGAGGGAGAGGGAGAGGAGATGGGAGAGGGAGGATGAGAGTGGAGGGGAGAGGGAGAGGGAGAGGGAGAGGGAGAGGGAGAGGGAGAGGGATAGGGAGAGGGAGATTGGAGAGGGAGAGGGGAGGGAGAGGGAGATTTAGTGAGTTAGAGGGAGATTATATTATAGGTAGATGTGTAGATTAGAGGGAGATTCGGAGATGGATAGGGATAGGGATATGTATAGTTAGATTTATATTTATACTTTATATTTATACTTATATTTATACTTATATTTATAATTATATTTATATTTATCTTTATATTTATATTTATATTTATATTTATATTTATATTTATATTATTGCTAGACTTTATCGAGTTTTATGAAAAAGCTTTAAATATTTTCGCAATCCATGTAGTCTTTATGAGAAATTTTTGAGAAAAGGTCAAATTTTAGCCCGCATACTCATATATACCTGTTCCATTTCGGTGTCAAACAATTCAGAATGACTTGAAACGTCGAATGTGAAATTAGCTATTCCGATTATCTGAAACATGAACTTCTCATTCGAGAAGTTAATATTGTTCTAATGAAAGTTAACAAAAATTGGTGTAATATTTTAATTGTTGTGCAGTTTTTGCCAATTAAAAATGATGTTTATATTGATGATTGTTTTTTTTGTGAATATTGTTTACGAATGTGATAATTATTGGTTTTAATTTAAACATATTCTCTAAATACTTCTAAAAGCAATAACTGTTTGGAAGATAGGAAACTAATAGGATAGAATAGGAAACTGTATAGGATACCACTCTGGAGGCAAGAACATTACGTTTGAGGATATTTTGATATTGAGTAGTTGATATTGAGTTGAATATTATAATAACGTTTTCAGTAAATGAACTTCTACGAATTTGATTATATTAATGCAATCATATTTTCTGAGAAAGTGAGCAATAAAAGCACATTTTTATTTATTAGGACATTTTAAACTGAATGACAAACTAGAAATGTGATATATATTTTTAAATAAAAACATAAAACTATTGTTGGAAGAGTTATTTATGAAAGCGTATTTAATATATAAATGATTAGTAAAGAGAATTAATTCTGACTAAGTTGATTTTTTCAGATGATCGCAATAAATATTTTTTTATTTATTTTTTGAATGTCTGAGATTATTTCAAACGTTTATATTAACACTTCTTAACACTTTCACTAAAAATTAACAAATTTTTTGATAATATTTTGTATAAAAATCTAGAAATTATAAACTAAATCCAAATGCGAAATGCGGAATATATATATATATATATATATATATATATATATATATATCGTATATCTATTCATTTGAAATCATAACCACTCGACTATTTTTTATTCTAAGTTAATTAAAAACCAGTGATGTTCGAAGTTTTTCCCCATGGCAAATTGCTAATACTCTCTCGTTTTGTGAACATATATTGGATAAATAAGATTAATCAATATAATAAAATTCATTTATATTCTCGATAAAAATGATACGCAACTTTTCAAAATAAATTGTGCGCATATAGAAAATAAAATAGTATTCGTAAATATAAATCTATACAAATGTGCACATAAATAAAATTGGAGTGTCTGTAATATTGAAATAGTCGTTATTTAATACACGTAAATAAATATAAATAGAGTGCTTATACCAAATTAACATCTTTGTCTGTCTGTTTGTTCGAGCTAATTTCAGAAACGACTTGACCGATTTTGACGGGATTTTTATTAGCAGGTATCTGATGTAATAGTGCGTAACTTAGGTTACTTTTAATTTATAAATAAAAGTATATTATCTCATTATATATTAACTCATATTATCTTATTTTATTTCACTCAACTATACTTTACGATTTTGTCTGCGTGAAATTTAATAAACCAAGTTAATTAGATTATATAGTTTAGCTTAGTTTTTATTTTTTATCATATCTCATCGCAATTTCAAATAATAAGTGATATATTGTTTCATATATTTTATCTAGATTTGAAATATGTTAATACTTTTTTCTGCTTTGTTTTTTACCCTAATTTAAGTAATAATTATGAATAATTATGTTAGTTAAGCACACGATGTGAATTCATTCAGATTTACATTGAAATTGATCAAAAATTTACAGATAATTTTATTTCTTTAGTAACGTTGATAGTTGTATTTTTTTTGAATAATTATTCATAGCTTGTAATTTTCATTTTCTAAATTTACACCCATTAGCTATTATCAAAAGAAAGACAAAACTCTATAAAAACATGAGAAAGGAAACCAACCAATTATTGTAGAGAAAAAAATCGTTTAATAAAGCTAATAAAATAAAAATGCAATTTTTTTTCACTCTTGTGCTTAATGTCAAGTTTTGGGTACAGCTAATAGTTCATTAATATAATTTATTAACTTTCTATATCTTTACGTTTCAAAGGTTTTTAAAAATTTTGGCATACCCTACAAAAAATCATCAGATATCACATATTTTATATATCGTACATCGAACCACCTACCACAATTACATACTAGGTAATTGTAGAATTTCAATTAAGATTTTTTTGAGCTTAGAGGAAAGTCTCACTTCAACTACAAAAGGCTAATTATTTCTTTCAATGTTTGTCCACCTCAAACACGATTTTAATTCTCGGGACCAACGTTTTTAGTTTCATTTTCATATATTGCGGAATTGAAAAATACATACAATTTTGAATTTTCACTCGTCTACCGCAAATACCTATTTCCTAATAGTCGTGTTAGTTATCGAATCATCTTTCACTCTACTTTAAGTCAGTGAACATTTTTCACTGATTTACCTCAGATTTTCCTGAGCTTATAGAAATCTACGCATCTATCCTCTGAAACATTTTCAAAACAATTCTTCGATATTGACGAGGGAAAGGCAACCATCCATAAAACTAGACGCGTCAAATTATCAATCGATTATGGCATAATCATTGAATCGCAGGGTAATACCATTGTACAAATAATTATCGATAAACACGCATAGTACATAGAATAGAATGGCATGCAGAAAGAGTAACTTTTGCAAAAAATGTAGATGTTGAATATTAAAACTTGTAGAGATAACAGGTTTTTAAATGAAACTAGGTGCCATACAAATCTACAGGAAAAATATAAATTTTTCCACCGAGATTTTGAAATTTTACGCAATTATCTAGGCATGCCACAGCATAATTCAACTAGTTGGTATTAGTATTTTGCCTTGAGGCAAGTTACATGAACTTCCCGATTTGTGTAAATAATCGACTTAATCCATGATAGATAAATTAATTTATGAGTAGTTAAAAGTATTCGACGTGGATTTATTACACATTATTGAAAATCGAACACGTCAACCCGGTCGAAGTATTTTTTAAAAACAAATTTTCAAAAATCAATAATTTTACTGTACTCTATCATTATATGAAGCAAATTGTCTAATTTTAAATTTAACAAATGTCAAAAGAACTACTCATTTTCCCAAATTTTGATAAATTTTTTAAATTAAACTACTTGTCGTAAGGTCGTAATATTTCAGTAAGATCTATAAAACCATGATTTATATCGCCAAAAAAAGTTCCATGAAAATCGGCTTAAATTTTTTTTTCAACAGATAATTACAAGAAAACGGCCCTGTAGATTATCACCTAAAACTAATCAGTATCATTCCCAACTAATATCGTTCAAACAGTTTTTGATTTTTTAAAGTCGATTCGGTAGTATGTG